GTACAGTCAATTGTCGTTTAATTCCGCAAGAGTTAAGAAATTCCGCGGATTCGTTGTTGACGTACTCCTTGCCATTATCACTCCTCAGCTGTTTGATTTTCCTTCCTTTCTGGCATTCCACGTAGGTCTTGAACAGCTTAAACTTCTCCAGTACTTCATTTTTCGCACGCATGAAGTAAACATGGATTTTTCTAGAATAATCATCTATGAATGTGACGAAGTAGCGGTTCCCGGCCAATGATTTCACATTCATGGGCCCGCAGACATCCGAGTGAATCAATTCCAACACGCTTGTTGAAATCATGTCTGCCCTTTGTGGGTGTGGTAGCGCACATATCTTCGAAATGTTACATGTATCGCAGTTAATGTTCGTTGGCACATGTTGAATATTAATCCCGGTCACTAGATTCTGATCTGCTATTTGTTTTAAACTTTGAAAGTTTACGTGGCCGAACCGATCGTGCCATTTTGTTACTAGTGTATTTTTTTTTGCCATGCAAACACTATCACTGTGCGAACTCATTTCGAATAAATACAAATTATTCCGCTGCTGCGCTTGTAGCAGCTCAAAGAAGCTGGGTTGACAAAAATGAAATTTTTTAAATTTGAATAGCGGAATCGTTTGCCCATCTTTTGCCCATGTTTGCCCACCAATTAGTTTTTTTTGCCCACGTCCAGTTTTCGAGATATAAAATTTCGAAAATTTTCGAAAATTTTCGAAAGTCACAAATTTTTGGAATTCGATTTTTTTTTTTAATCGTAAGAGAATCGTTTGCCCACGTTTGCCCACCTTTTAGAATTTAGAAAAAATTTATACTTCAAAAGTTATCTTAATTATAAGTTTTTCCTTAAGAAAAAATCGTTTGCCCACCCTTTAAAACTGAATATTTTTGGAAAAAAACGTTTGCCCACCTCTTAAAACTAAAAAATATTGACTGAACACCCTTTAAAAATACATTTTTATAAAAATTATAGTTTGCCCACCTCTTAAAACTAAAAAATATTCACTGCCCACCCCTTAAAAATAAATATTAATGAAAATAATCGTTTGCCCACCCCTTAAAACTAAAAAATATTCACTGCCCACCCCTTAAAAATACATTTTTATAAAAACAAACGTTTGCCCACCTCTTAAAACTAAAAAATATTCACTGCCCACCCCTTAAAACTAATTTTATATAAAAACCATCGTTTGCCCACCCCTTAGAACTAAAAAATATTCACTGCCCACCCTTTAAAAATACATTTATATAAAAACAAACGTTTGCCCACCTCTTAAAACTAAAAAATATTTACTGCTCACCCTTTAAAAATACATTTTTATAAAAACAAACGTTTGCCCACCTCTTAAAACTAAAAAATATTCACTGCCCACCCCTTAATACTAATTTTATATAAAAACAAACGTTTGCCCACCTCTTAAAACTAAAAAATATTCACTGCCCACCCCTTAAAACTAATTTTATATAAAAACCATTGTTTGCCCACCCCTTAAAACTAAAAAATATTCACTGCCCACCCTTTAAAAATACATTTATATAAAAACAAACGTTTGCCCACCTCTTAAAACTAAAAAATATTTACTGCCCACCCTTTAAAAATACATTTTTATAAAAACAAACGTTTGCCCACCTATTAAAACTAAAAAATATTCACTGCCCACCCCTTAAAACTAAATATTAATGAAAATAATCGTTTGCCCACCCCTTAAAACTAAAAAATATTCACTGCCCACCCCTTAAAAATACATTTGTCCACGTCCAGTTTCAAAAATATGGGATTTCGAAAATTTTCGAAAATCAAAAGGTTGAATTTTTCAAATTTTTTTGTATGGAATTGTTTGTCTATCGTTTGTCCACGATTGTCCACCCTTTAGAATTTTGAAAAAGTCAAAACTTTAGAAAATACAATGTGCATAAAGTTAGCAATGCAACTTTTGAAAATGCAAATTTTTTTCTATCGACAATTTGCCGTTATTTTTCCGTAAATTATTTGTGAAAGAACAAAATTTGCCGCTCAATTATTTCTAAAATTATAAGAAGTTCTGCTAAGTTGATATCAATTTCCAAAATCATTTTTAATAGGAATTTGCAGTTATTTATCCGTAAATGATTCGCGAAAGAAAAAATTTAGTTGCTCTTGTTTTAACATTTTTTTTTTTAAACTTAATTGTTCTGAATTATTTGAAAAATTCAACCTTTTGATTTTCGAAAATTTTCGAAATCCCATATTTTTGAAACTGGACGTGGACAAAAAAACTAAAAGGTGGTCAAATGTGGACAAACGATTCCCATATTAAAAATTCGAAATTTTAATTTTACCCGACCCAGCTTCTCTGAGCTGGTAATCGGTTTAAAAACATTTTTAAATTAATTTTTAAGAACTGGGCAGTCAATATTTATTAGTTTTAAGAGGTGGGCAAACGTTTGTTTTTATATAAATGTATTTTTAAAGGGTGGGCAGTGAATATTTTTTAGTTTTAAGGGGTGGGCAAACGATGGTTTTTATATAAAATTAGTTTTAAGGGGTGGGCAGTGAATATTTTTTAGTTTTAAGAGGTGGGCAAACGTTTGTTTTTATAAAAATGTATTTTTAAGGGGTGGGCAGTGAATATTTTTTAGTTTTAAGGGGTGGGCAAACGATTATTTTCATTAATATTTAGTTTTAAGGGGTGGGCAGTGAATATTTTTTAGTTTTAAGAGGTGGGCAAACGTTTTTTTCCAAAAATATTCAGTTTTAAAGGGTGGGCAAACGATTTTTTCTTAAGGAAAAACTTATAATTAAGATAACTTTTGAAGTATAAATTTTTTCTAAATTCTAAAAGGTGGGCAAACGTGGGCAAACGATTCTCTTACGATTAAAAAAAAAAAATCGAATTCCAAAAATTTGTGACTTTCGAAAATTTTCGAAAATTTTCGAAATTTTATATCTCGAAAACTGGACGTGGGCAAAAAAAACTAATTGGTGGGCAAACATGGGCAAAAGATGGGCAAACGATTCCGCTATTCAAATTTAAAAAATTTCATTTTTGTCAACCCAGCTTCTTTGAGCTGCTTGTAGCACTATGTTTCCTTTTTCATCTTTGATAACAGCTTTGTATTTGTCGAACACTGTGAATTTACCGTAAGCAGCGGCTTGGCTTACTGATAAAAAATTCATGTGCAACGTAGGAACGAACAACACCTCTTCCAACCGAATGTTTACGTTTTCCGCGCAGAACACAACTGCGCCAAAACCCGAAGATTCTATATACTCTTCCGCCGCAAGCATTATCTTTGACTTCCTTTCGATAAATGTACTAAATAAGTTTTTATTGGAGCACATATGTGAAGTCGCACCAGAATCAAGACACCATACAAATTCGTTTTGTTTACACACACTTATATGCATTAAGCAGTTCGATTGCAGTTTTTCGATAGACTCACTATCTCGGCAATCTTTCGCGCGATGACCGATTTTTCTGCACTTGTAACATTTTCCATTAAACTGAATTTTCTCGTATTGTTTTTCGTCTTTGCTGGCTTTTCCGCGACTTTTGAAAACTGTACCCTTACTTTGTAAGTTGCGGTGTGCATATACCGCTTGATCAGTACGTTCTCTCTTATCTCTCTCTTCTTTTCTCGCTCCTTCTTCTAAAAGCTTTACCTTAACTGTATCGAAGCTAGGTAACTTGTCCCGAGTTTCGATTGCTACGACGAAACTCCCCCAACTACTTGGCAAATTGGACAATAACATGATGACCTTCAAGTCATCTTGGAGACGTATTTCAAGTTCGGCCAACTTATCGGTAGTTTCCGTAAATGCGTTTATATAACTGTTGACACTTTCACCGTTATGCAGATTTAGCCCCAAGAGTTTTTGATAGAGCTGCACCTTTTTGGCTGGACTGCCTGATGCATGAATTTCCCGAAGTTTCCGCCATGCCATGTATGCACTAGAGCAGTGCTTAATATGCATCAACTGTGTCGGCTTCACGTTGAGGATCAGGATCAGGCACACTCCGAATTGTCTAGGGGCTTAGTAATGCATCCACTTGCAATACTCCACAAATCCTGGGTGACGAGTATGCTCCGCATTGATATCGACCACACGTCATAGTTGTCTTCTCCCAATTTTTCTATTTGAACAGACACACTCATTTTGTTAACGAACCACACTTTACGATTTATTGACGTTTAACAAAAATGTACACCGTATTGAGTTCTCGAGATGACTTTGTCGAATCTCCGTATTTAAACCACTGTATATTGCCGGTTTTCTGGGCCCATAACCTTTGTTAGAAATTGCCACGTGGTATAGTGGATTATCCCAAGCAAAGAATTACGTAGCGGCTTTGTAGTTAATGGTTTAATCGTTATAATAGAACTGAACTCGTGATTGTACGAGTATACACACTTAAGAACAAGAGTAGGCAGCGAGAGGGAAAACATATGTTTAAAGCTCGCTGCTCGATATACATACATTCTTGTTATATATCGTTATGTTACCGAACAGATTATGTTATGCTTACTGTTAAATACAATTTCAACAAGAACAAAACTGCATCATTACTTTTCCCGTAAAAGCAATAGGAGTGGGTGAACTCCCAAAAAGGGGGTCGTCCGTAGACTTTTGTCCGCCACTGTATGTAGTCACGTCACCAGGGATCGCAAGTAAGAATTACTTTTTTAAAAAAATTGACAAATAAGTCTTATTTTTCAATTTTTATTATAAAATAAGACTTATTTGTCAATTTTTTTAAAAAAGTAACTCTTATAGGGTCTTCCCACAGAGCTCCATCCACCGTCTACCATCCGTTGAACGGATGGTCCTTAAGGTTTTGCCGTTCCGAAAATTTCCCAGTTAGTCCGCCATCCAATTTTAACGGACTTTGACGGGCTCTTTTATGCGATATTTAGGCGATGATTTTTCGGTGCAGCTCTGAATTCTTCTTCTTGACAGTGAGAAGTGGAACATTCACAGCGAAAATGTAAACAAGAATGGCAGGGAACATTTGAAAAATGGATGGCGCTGAACAAACAGGTATGCACAATAAAAGCTATTTTAATTTATAATTATTCATTGTTATTAATTTTGAAGTTGAAATTACGCGAACCAACACCGGCAAGCTGAGGTGGACTGTGAAGATGGAGCTCCTGCTGATCGACGTTTGGCAGGAGAACGTCGAGCAGTTGCGAAGCAACCGCAAAAATGTCCATATTTATATGGAGATGGCCCAGTCTATGATGGAGGCTGGGTTCGACATAGATTACAAAGACGTACGGACAAAAATTGAGAACCTGACCAAGTAGTACAGGTAACTTTTATTTGCAACCGTCGTTAATATATTCTAAAATAATTCCAATATGTTAATCCTTGCAGGCAGGAGAAAAATAAGTGGTGGCGCTCCTTCTTCGTGGCAGCACTACGAGTTGCTTCACTCGTTCCTGGGTGCATTCCGCATCCACAACACGGAGAAGTCCAACTTGGAGAACGAGAGTATGTCCCCAGACTTAATTTATAGTTTATTATTAACTAACATTATGTATTTACTGCAGACTGGAATAAATACTTTGTGGAGACATTGGATGAGGACCCCGAGGACAATGTAGCCTCTATCTGCAGCGGAAGCCAACGCTCAGGAAGCAATGGGCCCCCTGCAAAGCGCGCCAAATTAGACCACAAGGCCGAGCTTGTAGAGATAGCCAGGGACAGGCTGGATGAGCAGCGAGCGCAGACTGAAATAATGTCTAGAATGGCAGACAGCCAAGCTCAGTTCCAAACTGATTTGTTGGAGCTCTTGAGGTGTCAGAACAACTAGAAACAATAAGAAGTAGCTAATCAAATTAACATGAAGTTAGAATAAAACAAAATCAAACATATTTGTATTTAATAAACTTTATTTATTTATATTTTGGCAATATTGGGCGATAGCTGATCGCACTCTTTCAGCAGGCTGGCTGAAATCTGCCGACATATTGGTACGCAACGGTTGTTCGCGTAGGTCGCTGGCAGTCGGTTGCCAATTTTCATTAATTGTGCTGTTGTGCTCATTTAAAATATTATGCAAAATGCAGCAGGCAAGAATCACTCCATTATTGTTTTTATAATGGCTGTCTAAACCTTTCCCGATAAACCGGAATCTTGCCTTTAAATGGCCGAAAGCATTCTCTACAACTCGCCTGGCTTTAGAGAGATTGTAGTTGAAATTCCGCTGCTCTGCGGATGCAGTTGTGGAAAAGGGATATGGTTTCATCAGTGTTCGCGAGAACCTAAAGGCCGAGTCCCCAATAAGCAGCACTGGAACTTCTACGCCGCAAATTTCTCTGGTTTTCTCCTGAAGAAAAGGAGTAGAGACCATTTTTCTGGCCAGGCTAGACCTTTGGAAAATTGCAGAGTCGTGGCATCGCCCTGCAGATCCGATGTTAACGTAAGTGAATCTATATCTGTAGTACATATAAAATATAAGAAGACTGTTGAGCACTTAGAAAAAGGTAATTTACCTGTAATCCACGAGAGCGAATAGTACAATTGAGTACCAACCCTTGTAATTGTGATGGTCTATTGCTTCTGCTGCTGTCGGTTTAATTTCAATGTGGCACCCATCTAAAAAATGTAAATTGTTATAGCCATGAACTAAATTGATGAAGTGATGTCTTACCAATTGCTCCTAGACACTGTGGAAACCCAATTGCTTCGAACCCCTTGACACATTCATCAACTTTTTCTGGTGTTAGGTAGTCGGGAGACATAAACTCACTTCCTAGCTCCAATATGAGAGCCCCGCAAAATTCGTGGAGAATTTTGCACACCGTGTTTTGTGCCACTCCGAAAAGCCTTCCAACGGATCGATATTCCGAGGATGATCCCAAGGTATATAGGGCAATAGCAATCCTCTTTTCCAGAGGAATTGCAGCTCGCCAGTTTGTGTCCTTTTTAGCCAGAACTCCAAGCCGATCCACCAAGAACGAAAAGGTCTTCTTCTCCATCCGAAAGCTCTCTTTGAAAAATGCCTCGTTATTTTCGGGTATATCCTTTTCCCAAAATGTCCCGTATCGCTTCTGTTTAATATGAGACGAATAGTTTAACTTTGTTTTTAATAGAATTTGACAAAACTTACCACCATCCACACACGTCTTGGAATTTGATCCTTTCCTGAAAATATTGCTTCATACAGCTCCAATTCGTCATCATTCCACTCCTCTGCATTGACTGCCTTAAAAAGCTGTAGCAAGTTAAGGTTTTGCTGTTGAACAACAGCCAAAATAGTCGAGAAATTGTTCATTTTAATTTTAATGTCGCTCTTCAAGAACCTTTGTTTATGTTTTGATGAGCCACAGCTGTTCAGATCAGCTGTCATCGGATGGTAGATGGTGGATGGAGTTCTGTGGGAACACGAGTTTCACATTCGTCAAAAATCCCAACCGTTTCACACGGATGGACTCTATGGGAAGAGGCTATTACTTGCGATCCCTGCACGTAACTATTAAAATAGTTTGTTTGTTTTTTGTTTTTGCTTTGGGTTTGTGTCTTTGCTAATTGTGTGTATTTTGTTGTTGTGGAATGACTATTTACTTAGTAGAATTGACAATTTTGCTGGTTGGGGCCTGTTTGACAATTATTACAGTTGATTTTACCAAGTTTTTTTTTTGTGTGCAGGTAGTATAGAAGTCGGAACCGACCGGATCGGACAATTATTTCTTATAGCTGCCATAGGAAGGATCGCAAAAAAACAAAATAATTGTAGCTTGGGTTTTTATACCCTTGAAGAGGGTATTATGATTTCAGTCAGAAGTTTGCAACGCAGTGAAGGAGACGTATAAAGTACATATTTATATTCTTGATCAGCATCACTAGACGAGTCGATCTAGCCATGTCCGTCTGTCCGTCCGTTTCTACGCAAACTAGTCTCTCAGTTTTGAAGCTATCGGCTTAAAACTTTCCCAAAAGTTTTCTTTCTTTTGCAGGTAGTATATAAGTCGGAACCGACCGGATCGGACAACTATATCTTATAGCTCCCATAGAAAAGGTCGAAAAAAAAATCGTTTAAAAAAATTCTAGCTTCGGTGTTTTTTGAAATATTACCTTCTACTCTTGGAGATTTTATTTTTTAAATATTTCTAAATTTCGAATTAAATATTTAAAAAATCGGACGACTATATCATATAGCTGCCATAGGAACGATCGGAAAATTAATGGAAAAGTAATAGGAAATAAATTCTAGCTTCCTTGGTTTTTATTGTATTCTCTTCTACTCTAGGATATGACTCTTTTTAAATATTTTTGAATTTCAATTTTAATTTGATCAAAATCGGACGACTATATTAGAGCCCTGCACGAGTAGAGTTTAAAACAGCTCTGAGCTTGAGCTTGAGCTGTTTGTTTGTGACTTTGGAATCATAGGTCATGGGATCATAGAATCATCGAGTAAGAGATCCTCCCATGAGCCTATGATTCCAAGAGCCCTTTCAAACAGTTCGGCCCGAGTAGCTCATGTCAAAAAAACAAACCAAACAAACAGCCCACGTTATTCGAACAGAAATAGCTCCAAGGGCTTAATGTCAAACATTTACAATAAACAAATATACAGTATTTTATTTACAAAAAGAGAAAACGATTATAAGAGAATCATGGCCGACCGCCAGTACTTTTTTTAGCAAAAAATCGCGGTCCGTAGGGGGTAATTTTTTTTTTTAGCGATTCTTATTCACTAGTAGAAGCAGCAAAATAATAATCCTCGGTGGACCGCGATTTCTTAAGAATCAAAAAAAAGAAGAGACGGTTACAAGAAAACTATGGTCGACAAACAATTTTTTGGCAAACTGTTAAAAAAAATTGCGATCCATCGAGGGTAGCTATTTATTTATAGCGATTCTTGGGCGGAGAAACGTTTTATTATTTTTTAATTTTTAACAAAGATAATTGTTGAAGAGGACAACATATTAAATCGAGTTGATCTTAAGATATTGCGGTTGCATAAAAAGCCACAAAAATCCTTCATCCAAATTAATGCAAAATAAAAAAAAAAGGTTTTTTCAGCTCCGGTCGAAAAACTGAGCTACTCGAGCCCATGATTCCATGAGCTAATGATTCCATGAGCCCTTTGTTTTCGAACGAGTCGAGTAGCTCATTGTAAAATTTTAGGAGCTGAGCTATTCGATTTGAACATTTTTGTGAGCTGATTTACTCGAGCTGTTTTTTGAAATGGGAGAAAAATGTCTTCTACATTTCGATAGGTATAAATATACACAACAAAATTGCATTTATACTTCTCGGAAATCTTTAAAGATGTGGGCGCAGGACACATTTTAAAATCGTTAGTAGGCGATTGTGGGCGTAAGAGGAGGCGTGGCGCTCGGTTGAAATAAACTTGCGCTGCGTAGGAGGCCCAAGATTATGTGTGGAAAATCATAACCTTCTAGCTTTTGTAGTTTCCGAGATCTCAGCGTTCATACGGACAGACAGACGGACAGACGGACATGGCTAGATCGACTCGGCTAGTGACCCTGATCAAGAATATATATACTTTATGGGGTCGGAAACGCTTCCTTCTAGCTGTTACATACTTTTGCACGAATACAATATACCCTTTTACTCTACGAGTAACGGTTATAATTAATGGGAAATTAATTGGAAACAAATTATAGCTCCGTTGATTTTTATTGTATTCTCTTCTACTCTTCTACTCGGTTGGCCGAAGCCAGCTTCCTTTCTTGTTTTTTTAAATATTACCTTCTACTCTTGGGGATATTATTTTTTTTATTTTTCCTAATTTCGAATAAAATTAAAAAAAAAATCGGACGACTATATCATATATCTGCCATAGGAACGATCGGAAAATTAATGGGAAAGTAATCTCTAATCCAATAGAAATGAAGGGATAAAATTTGGTCAGTAGCAAATTCCACCCAGAACGGATTGACCTAAAAATCTAGACAAATCAAATTAATTCGTAAATAATTAGGCGCAGAGTGTGACAGAATGAGTAAGGCTTAGTACTCAACCCAACAAAAAGTCGTCCAAAACATAAAAACTTCATATAAAAAAAGTCACAAAATTTTTGGTGGCAAATTTTTGGTCGAAATTTTTGGACGGCAGTACTCAGCCTTACAAAAAAAAACTAAAAAAATACTTAATTGGTCGAGCATTTTCGGTGCTGTCACTTTCGGTGTTGTCACTTTAAGTTTAACCAAAATGAGTTCGCAACGCCGCAAGCGCATTAAAGGATTTTCAAGTGATGACTTCCAAAGTGAACGGGTGTGTTTTTTTCGCGCTCCGAATTTTTATTTGTTTTCGTGTTTACCTTTAGACGGTTTTAATTAAAACTTAAATATTCGGTCCCTAATTTGATTTATCATATTACTTCTTATATTTCGCGAGTGAATTTACTCTATTCTGTGCACAATCTCATTAAAACAATATCCAATTTTAATATTGTGTTCTGTGTTTTTTGTTTTTGTGATTTCTTTTGCCTTTCCTTTGTGCGGTGTCCGTAAAAGCTACAGTGCAGTTTGTGTTGTTGTTTTCTGCATTCGCATTAACTGCATTACGCTCCCGCACTCTCGCATTCTCTCTCTACTTTTCCCTCTTTCGAAATTTAAGGCGACGGAGTCGGTGCTCTTGCGGTACTTTTAACTGCTCGTTTGCAAATTTCGGTCCCTACATTTCTGTTTGGTACAGTGGGCAAAATATTTACAATTATGGATACTTTTGTCTGCTCTATTAATAATTGCCATCAATTAATCAGAGCTGATCAGTCAAAACTGACCTGTTGGCTGTGTGAAAAAATGGCTCATACCAAGTGTGCCGGCTATACTGGCC